GTTTCTTATGCAGAAAAAAACAAGCAACGATGGACAACTACATGGGGACAAGACACTCACCCCCCAGCAATGCATACCACTTACAAACTATTCTAGATTCTACATTATTTTTTATGGAATTTACCTCTTATATTTTGATGCCAAAAATTATTCTGGACTGATATTTTGCACTGTTTAGCTCATTTTACACCACTGACTGTGTTCATGTGCAATAAAATAGATTGCAGTCAACTGCACAATTCTCTTATGTTTTTCTTTTTCTTAACTGAAATGTATTCATCACTTGTATAGGTTAAATAGCTAAACAATAACAAACCGATTAATCGATTAATCAGAAAAATAATCGACAGATTAATCGATTATGAAAATAATCGTTAGTTGCAGCCCTAATAAGGTGCAAATAAAATTGGGGGGCAGGTTGCCACAGGAATGCAGAAATGGGGTCCATACCTGCACTCCCTGACTTGTCCACCCCCCAAGGTCCTATGTGTATGTTTGTGTGATGATGTGAGGGAGCAGGAGGAGAGAAATATGTGGGGATGGGGAGGAATGGCTGGTTGGGCTTAGCCCTCCAGGGAGCCAGCTCCCCTACCAGCCCCAATAGGCACCACTGTTGTCAAATTGCCACCCAGGGCATGGAGACCCCAGCCCATCCTGCCAGGGCCCAAAGCAGCAGCATTACAGAGCCTCACGGAGTCCGAGGGCAACAACCCAGCCCCACCCCAGCAGAATATCTATGCCCATCCCTGCATTTGCACAACTTCCAGAATATATAAGACATGGGACATCCAGGTAAGGTTGGGTCCTCCCCCTCCTGGACCTCCCCCTCCCCTGTGATGGGACAGCAGAGGAACCAAGGTCTACTCGAGGCCCCCGAACCCGGGCCAGGCACTGTTGCATGTTCCTGCCTTCTTCCTGGCAGCATACATGTCAGGACCCGACCCCCAAGACCCCGCCCAGATCCCCCTATGGGGCTGGCCACACCCAAACCCTGAGCCCCCAGGCCCCCACCCAGACCCTCCCAGGGGCAATGCAGCTTCCAGGCAGTGACCCATGGTCGCCGCCAAGTCCTCCAAGGGGCCCCACTCACAACCGCCAGTAGTCCACCCCCCAAGGCAACCCAAGTACCTCCAGAGGGGGGCAACAGCCCCCCAGTCCCAGACACCCCCAGTGAACCCACCTCCAGGGAACATCCGGATACTCCAAACTCAGACCCCCCCCCCCCCCCCCCCCACACACACACACACACACCATCCCGCAGGACAATATCAATGGTCCCCCATCATCGCTATGTGATGGAACCGATCAAAGGAGCCCAGAGAGATTGATTTGAAGTGAAGGCAGAGGCTAAATCAAGTGTAATATGATCCAAAAAAAGATTTCTATACTGGTTAATGCAGAGAGATTCTCTATTTTTCCAATTCAAGAGGATAGTTTTCTTAGTGATGCATATGGCAGTCAGAACCACGTGAACCTAAGATGTTTCAATCGGGACATCGTCCAGGTTTCCCAGTAAACAAAGAGAGGGGGTGGTTGGGATATGACATTTCAGAGACTTTGACAGGTCTTCACACACTCTACCCCAAAATTCCTGGACAGGTGGACAGGACCACAGTGCATGAATGTAATTGTCAGGAATGTTGTTTGTGCAGTGTGTACAGGTGTCAGATGACACAAACCCCATCTTGAACATCCGATAATCTGTATAGTGTACTCTGTGTAGAATTTTGTACTGAATTAATTGTAAATTGGAGTGTCTGATCATTTTAAAAGTTTTTAAACAAGTTTGGGACCAGAAGTTCTGGTCAAAGCTGACTGATAGATCCACCTCCCATTTTTCAATAGGGATTGCTATTCTATCGTCTATTTTGGACCGTGTCTTATATACTTTAGACCAGGGGTGTCAAACTCGATTTAGCTCAGGGCCCACATTGAGGGAAATCTAGTCCCAAGTGGGCTGGACCGGTAAATAAAATAAAAAACTTCAGATTGTTTTCTTTGTTTTAATACAATCAATATAAAACAAGGCTGGAGCCTGAGGACAGTGTAGTACAAGTACAACACCTGAAGTGTACTTGAAAATTTGAAGAAGAAAAAAATCAACAAATTTAAAAAAACATTCCTTAGTGATTCAAAGAGCTTACAGATCACATGGCTAGATCAGTTTCATGCAGCACTTAAAGTATATTCGACTCATTTTACTTTACATCTTTTAGCTTTCACCAGCACATCAATATCAGAAGTCACATCCTGACCCAACTTCAGGATGTGACTCAAGTTCTTGTGTGAGCCTTGAGCGCAGCTTTGTTTTATTTATACTCATTACAGAGAAAACTTGCTCACAAAGATACGTTTATTTTCACTCTACATTGTAAAGTATGAAAATAAGGTTTACACAACCATCTCGCGGGCCGGATTTAACCCGCTTGCGGTCCGGATCCGGCCCGCGGGCCGCATGTTTGACACCCCTGCTTTAGACAGTAGTTTGGGCGACGGTGGCACAGGAGCGACGGTGGCACAGGAGTTAAGTGCTCGCCCCGTAATCGGAAGGTTGCTGGTTCGAGTCCCGCTCAGTCTGTCGCTGTCGTTGTGTCCTTGGGCAAGACACTTAACCCACGTTGCCTGCTGGTGGTGGTCGGAGGGACTGGTGGCGCCAGTGCTCGGCAGCCTCGCCTCTGTCAGTGCGCCCCAGGGCAGCTGTGGCTACATTGTAGCTAATCACCCCCAGTGTGTGAATGTGTGTGTGAATGGGTGAATGACTGATTTTGTTGTAAAGCGCCTTGGGGGGTCATAGGACTCTAGAAGGCGCTATATCAAATACAGGCCATTTACCATTTTACCATTTAGTTTGGGGGGTTTGAGATTATAGAAGTCTAATACCCTTGGTGGTGTTTGTAATTCTATTTTATTGAGCTTAAATTTTTGTTTGACTACAGATTTAATTTGGTGATATTCCAAAAAGCTATTCTTATCTATTCCAAATTGGGAGATTATTCTATTAAATGGGATGAAGTCCAATCCTTCATATATGTGTTCCAGGTATAGGATTCCTTTATTTTTCCAGTCCGGAAGGTTCACTATTTTATTATTTTGCAAAATATCAGGATTATTCCAGATAGGTGTGCGTCTGCATGGTACTAGTGAAGACTCTGTCATTTTAAGATACTCCCACCATGCTGTCAGAGAAGTGCTGATACTAATACTTTTGAAGCCTTCATGTTTTCTTATGCTTGAGCTAATAAATGGTAAGTCTGAAAGCTCTATCGTATTGCAAAGTGTCTGTTCTATATCTAACCAAGACTCATCTAGTGGGTTATCTTGCAACCATCTTGGTATATATTGCAGCCTGTTGGCTAAGAAATAATAATAAAAGTTGGGTAGATCCAGTCCTCCTCTGTCTTTGGTCTTCTGAAGCGTTTTTAAGCTAATTCATCCCTTTGTATGTTCTAATAAAAACTATTAATTTTGCCTGATGAGGCATGGTTTTTCTCAGGACAACATGGACTATCTGCGTTTATAATTTTTTTTTTATTTTGGAAGTAATGTGATAGCATTTTGGACCTTAAATCACACAAAACCATGAAATCTGTGTTGAAAAATTAGTAGTTTTTTTACTATGAAACCTGCAAACATTTATGAAGAATTGTTTTTATAATTTAGAATGCTAATATATAGAATGCTAATGTATAAAATGCTAATGTACATAATGCTAATGTATAAAATGTGAATGTATAGAATGCTAAAGTATAAAATGCTAATGTATGGAATGCCAAAGTATAGAATGCTAATGTATAAAATGCTAATGTATAAAATGTTAATGTGTAGAATGCTAATGTATAGAATGCTAATGTATACTGTAACTGTGCAAAACAACATAAAAATACAGCAAACCAAAAGCTTTAATGAAATTAGGTTTTTTACAACTAGTTACACAGGTCACAAAAAGCCTAAATAAACTATAATGCTGCTAATTATTTAGCAGCATTTGAACTTGTTGCATTACTTTACTAAAGGATAAGGGCTTTCCCCGTGACTATTTGTGCCACTCAAAGAAGCAGCTTCTGCCCACCATCATGGATGAGGGCACATGGCCGGCATGGCACTTCCATGGGGTGTTGTACATGTTTTGTCAAGGGGCAGTTTTTGCATTTTAGCCTGCTTCAGGTGGCTTTTAGGGTAACATCCACAGCAACAGGAACACGATCAGCTCTCCCGCCCTGGTCATGTCACCTTAGATCCACCATGAAGTCTGTGTGTCACGGCTAGGGCTGCACGAAAAGCTCACCAATAGAAAATTCCTATTAATATCAATAATTATTAAAAACTATATTTAGAAACATGTAGAAAATATGTGTAAGAGCACCTCGGCCATTTAAGGCCATTGTTTTATGATACAGACACACATTAACTAGTGTGTGTGTGAGAGAGCATTAACTAGTGTGTGTGTGACAGCATTAACTAATGTGTGTGTGTGACAGCATTAACTAGTGTGTGTGTGTGTGTGTGTGTGTGTGTGTGTGTGTGTGTGTGTGACAGCATTAACTGATGTGTATGTGTGTGTGACAGCATTAACTAGTGTTTGTGACAGCTAGTGTGTGTGACAGCATTAACTGTGTGTGTGTGTGTGTGTGCGTGTGTGTGTGCGTGTGTGTGTGTGTGTGTGTGTGTGACAGCATTAACTAGTGTGTGTGTGTGTGTGTGTGTGTGTGTGTGTGAGAGAGAGAGACAGCATTAACTAATGTGTGTGTGACAGCATTAACTAGTGTGTGTGTGACAACATTAACTAGTGTGTGACAACATTAACTAGCGTGTGTGTGTGTGTGTGTGTGTGTGCGTGCGCGCGTGGACCCACTAACCAGATGAAGTCAAAAGTGAAAACAACAGCGAGTCCAGCGGCAGGACTCCCGCTGACACGCGCAGCTGTCTGTCATGTCTCCTGTAGGCAGCTCGCTGTGCGCGCGAGCCAACAGCGGTTAATAGGCGGAAATAAAAGATGTTACCTTCTCAGTTAGACGGCCTGACGCCTCGAGGAGCCGCTGTCCGGACAGTCTGCGCCACCAAAGTTGGACAAGTAGTTGTAGGCTTGTTTAGGCGGCGAACGGAAATGTTTATTTCTGTTTGTGCTCTCAGACCGAAAGCAAAACAACGGTTGCTTCGGGAAGTGAGAGTGGAGCTCGTGCTGGAAATCCCCCTCTAGCTCGCGGGCTCGAGCTGCGTCTACGAACAATCTTTGGCCAACGTGCGCGCGACCGCTAGAGAAAGCCAAACGAAAAGAGGCCTCACTCTGATTTGTTTCCTCCGCTTCAACAAAAACGTGTGCTCGTGGACAGAATAAACACAGCGAAGCAAACAGCATTACCTTGCAGTTTGTTTTACGTTGAATGTTGTAGACGAGCTAATACCATATATGTATGTCGATGGCTAAAACCCTGACGTAAGGAAGCGCTTATGAGTAAATAAAAACAACAGCAGTATGGGTTTAAGCCGCTCACTGACGATCTTTGAGCTGGATTTCATTTTCACTTCCTCCCTGATACCCACCCTGCCTTTCCTTTCTGCTCGGCTGCTGCCTAAAACGAAACCAGAAAGTCAGAAAGCAGCTAAGACAGGAAACTGAAGCAGCCTTTTCCCTCCTCACGACCTGATGAAACTGAAGAAACTTGTGTAACTCGGAACTAACCCCAGCCCTCTGGACCTAAACACCGTCTAACAGAAAATACGTTTTACATGAAAAATACACGAGAACATCTGTAAAACACAATTATCTGACAAACGAAGAGGAAGTTTAGAAAAACAATGTACAAAATAAAACTGCTTGTTATAAATATCTGGAATAGAAGTAAAAACAACCAAAGACAGCAAGCACACAATAGAAGCTCCTGAATCTCCAGCATGAAAACAGAAGTTTATTTCAGTAAAATTCAACGACTTGTGATTTTTGCTCACGTCTGTTTCAACACCATCACACCGTATAAGAGCAGCCAGCTTGGAAAAACAGGAACAGAAACTTGATGAAAGCTGATGCAAAGTAGCCCTATTGTCCCTCAGCAAGAAGGTCCAGAGTCAGAATCAGGTTTCATTGTCTTATGTACAAGAAATCACAACATTAAGTACTTGGTGCAAAAATAAAATATAGAAATAAGAGATAAGTAAATATAAAAAGTAAGAATATAGAGTTATCATGTTCTCATCATGCATATGTGGAGTTACCATGTTCTGCTCGTGCATGAATAGAGTTGGTATGTTCTCAATCAAAAAAATCAATCAAAAATGTATTTATAAGGCACTTTTCATACAAAGAAGCAACTCAAAGTGCTTTACAGATAACAATGACCCCATAAAACCTATATTCCATACCTTTCCCACCCATATAAAAGCGATTTAAAAAGCAGCCCATTTCACAGGTACACACACACACACACACACACACACACACACACACACACACACACACACACACACACACACACACACACACATGATGAGTTACATCCCAGCCATAGCTACTCTGGGACACAATAACAGAAGTGCAGCTGTCCTACACAGCCACCTCCGGCCCCTCCAACCACCACAAACAGGTGAGGATGGTGAAGCTCCTTGCCCAAGGACAGAACGATTCACACGGACAAAGCCTGGGATTGACCCACCAGTTACAGGGTGAACTCCTAACCTCACCCACTGTCACCCCTAACTTAAACATTAGGTGCTCCCAGATGAAAAGCATCAGGAGGCAGGTCCCAGCCACCAGCACAAAAATAAAGACTGATGTGCAGAAACACAAACATGAGAAAAGAAACTCTTGTTATAAACTTGTAGACCTGGTGTGTTAGGGGTTAGGTTAAAGTACAGGTTCAGTTCCAGGAACAGACTGCTGACTCATAAAGGCCTGCAAACCCTCTCTGAATATGTCTCCAGCTCCCTCTAGTGGTCACATGTTCAACCTGAACACATAGTCATAAAAATGTCCTGTATTACAATGGCAGAGGCAATTATTTATCACTAATTCAGTGTTTTATTTCCTAAATGCAAGAATTGTAATAAAGATCATTTTATTTAGAAAATACAAAGTTAAACATGGATTAAACCTTTAACAGGATGTTAGCTATCAGCTGCATGAGACAGGTGTATAAAACCCTTATAAGCGTTATTTGATGCCTCCAGTTTTTACCTTTTTTAGTTTTTTCTCCTATGAGTTCTTGAACCTGATTTGGCTCCCTGTTGGACTTCCTTCATCACTCCAAAATAAAAGGACCTTGTTTTGTCTGTGTGCCGTTCCTGGGTAAACTGCCTTTGGGTCCTAGCCTCTATCCAACGTGACAGATACAGCTCTGGACAACGGCTGGAGACGGGTTCTTGCCCTCCAGCTAGTGTGGATGTGTGCAGTTATGTAAACAATGGGTCCATAGAAACACTAAGATGTTGAAAAATGAAAATCAATTACATGTAAACTAGGTGTTAAAAGCTTGTCTGAAGGGGTGGTTTTAGTTTAAAAGAGTGAGAGAGTGAGAGGTGCAAAGGTCAGGGGGAAGAGAATTCCAGCAGAGGGGAGCAGAGCAGCTGAATCCTCTACTTTTTCCAGAAAAAGTAACCTACACTGTAGAAAATAACCGTATGTTTAACAGTGATGAAAGGTAAAACAGGAAAAAAAAAACACCAACTGTAAAACTATTTAAAAAATTTAGATTTTACATGAAGTTGTCGTAAATAAATGAATTGTTGAAAACAGTAATTAGTTGTTACTGGAATACAAGATGAATGGTTTTCTACCAGGACTCGGCTCTCACCTTTCAAATCCCATGTTAAACAGGTTTGTAGGATTTCCTTTTTCCACCTTCGGAATATTGCTAAGATTAGAAGCATCCTTTCCAGGAGTGATGCTGAAAAACTAGTTCATGCATTTATTACATCAAGACTGGATTACTGTAATTCATTACTCTCAGGAAGTACACAGAATGTAGTTAAAAGTCTTCAGCTTGTCCAAAATGCTGCAGCTAGAGTTCAGATGAGAATTAAAAAGAGAGATCATATCTCTCCTATCTTAGCTTCCCTACATTGGCTGCAATAGATTTTAAGATCCTCCTTCTCACATATAAAACTCTTTACCGATTTTTCAAGAAAATATTGAATTCTGACACGACTACTTCAAAAGGTTGTAGCTTGAAAATGGTCAGAGGCAAAGGTGAGCTGTAAATGAGAAAAATCTTCAGTAGGACCCAAAGTTTGTGTTGGGAGCAAATGCACTCATCTAATTTGCATATTATGACATCACCAAGCTGCCATATTGGAATGAATCATTTTTACAGTTGTTCCTTCTTATTTTCACATATTATTTTGAAATGTCCATAATATTTGGAATTTTTTAATTTATATATACATATATAAAGCTCTTTAGAAACTGTAACTTCATTGCTTATCATTTATATTGTATTTTTTGATATTTATCTTGGCCTCACTCAGGAGAAATGCACGTTAGCCATATTAATCAGGTTTCTTTTGGCTTGTACAGCTTCAGGGATTTCCTACCCTTGAATATAATGATCATTCGATCCAAGGGAAAAGACATTTTTATGATTATGTGGCACACTTTGACTTCCGTACATAAGAAACACATTTGTCTTTTTTTTTTTTTTTTTTACAGATTTTACATTGCCGCTACGTCAGTCACATTAGTGATGTTTTAATCATCATTTCTACGTCCACCATGTCCCAAACACATTTTGGAGTCGCTGATACATGCTTTTATTACTTCTCTGATCCAGCTCACCACCAGGTGGTGATCTGTTGACAGCTCTACTCCTCTCTTTACTTGAGTGTGTCATGTTCTGGGGCAAATGTCTAACCCAAGACATGCAGAATCAGGAGACAGACTCAGATTGAAAGAAAAAATTAAATATTTTATTTAAAACGAGGAACTAAAGGCGCACTGGAAGTCCAGCGGGTGAGGAAACGGGAAGCAGTGTCTAGAGGGAAGAGTAGCAGAGGTTAGTACTGGGAGTTGTGGTCCAACAGAGGGAAAACTGATGGAGGGACTTACGGTTCGGGAAGAGCAGGAGCCCTAGGGAGGGGTGAGCCGGGGTAATAATCCTGGTGATAAACAGAGAGCAGATGAGACGGTGAGAGGGAATGTGTCCGAGCTGGTGAGGGTTGGAGAGGGAGCGAGGAGCGGTGGAGAGCGGGACGGTCAAGCGGTTGGATGGTGAACCAGGAAGCGAGCCGGGGAGTGATCCATACAGAGTAGAGTTGTCACGGTGTGAAAATTTAACCTCACGGTTATTGTGACCAAAATTATCACGGTTTTCGGTATTATCGCGGTATTTTTTTTAAACGTGCTACATTTTCACACAATTAAATAAACCCTGTATGTCAGGAAATATTGTCCTCAGTTTGTCTAAATTTTGCCTAAAATGTGTTATTTTGTAATTATGTTGTTTATTTGTTTACGTTTTTTCCCTTTAGTCTTTAAAATACCATTATTTGCCCATAACTTCTTATTTTTTGTCTGTTTGATGTCATCATTTAAAAAATATTAGATCAGATGATACTCAGTACTCAAGTAGCCTTCTAATCAGATACTTTGTTTACCCTTACTTGAGTAAAAAACCCTATATCAGGAAAATATTGTCCTCGGTTTGTTTCCAGAGAGCTTTGCAGATGTGGGAAAATGTCATCAGGCAGTAATCATTGTTAAATTCATAATTATTCTCGGAGAGAGACCAACTCTTATCTGCCCCTGGGAGCCCCGTAATGCATAGCGTCATTTCAACATGGCGGTGTCCGTGATACGGTTTATATGCAGGTAGCGGGCGCTGCGGCTGCTTTATATAGCCACCCGTTGCATTCTCCCTCAACCCAAATCCTCGGACCACGCATTTTAGCTAAAACGCCAACGTTAGCTTGCCTTGCGTTGACTGTAGAGTTGTGGGTGATGGTCACGCAGATGTGTCATGAGATTTGAAGCGTTGCTGCTTTTCACAGACACTTTTTCTGCACGTGCTGCAAACAGGATAGCTGTCTTCTATCAACTGTCCCTCGGCATTCTTCAAAAATCTAAAAGATGCCCATACTTCCCACTTTGTCTTCTTTGAGGGATAATAAATGTCCTGAGTGCTGCCGTCTCCTCCTTTGGCCATTATTTCAGCTTTAGCTTCAAGAAAGTTTTGGTTGTAAACAACAAAGTGCGCATGTGCCGCCGGCAACTTCAGCAGATGATACGGTGGC